TTTCAATTGCAGGATGTTTCGTAAGACGCAAATATCACTTGCTCCACTCCCGCCTGAAATTGCTACGTTGATGAAGGTTAGTGTTGTCTGATTTTGAAGAAGGGGCGCTGATTTTCGCATTTTTCAGTCTGATTCAGGCACGGATCAAACTTCATAACTCTTAGTCCTTTTTAAACTTTTTTTGCATCCGTGCGCGTACACACATACAAGTAGCACGGCCATGTTTGTGTGTGTGTGTGTTTGTGTGTGCAGGCACAGGCGTAGGTGTATATGTGTGTATAGGTGTGTATGCGTAACGTCTATCCCCAAATTTCAATCTCCAGAACTGAGACAGCTATGAAGCTGAAATTTTGGCAGCCTAGTCTACCACTATGGGTGTTAGACTAGACTGCCAAAATCTCTAGGCATAAAATGAGTGCTCATACCCTACTAGTTACTACGTGCGAAGGCGTACATTATTTGGCAGGAAAATGATTTCAGGCTAGAAAGCTGAAACATTGCGAAGGTGTTCTTTGCCTGCTGGCGACCCCAATAATTTAAACTCAGCCTTCATGCATCTCTAGATCCCACACACGTACAAATCAAAATTCAGGTTGGCACAGTGCTAATATAAGAATAAAGCTTTTAGAAATCTGAAGAGTGCTGTAATTTTACGACACTGTTTTCTATATGTGCTCATGAAAGTTGATTTAACTTTGACGTTTCTCTGCATCTTACATGCGGGCACGCGAAAATTGAAGCAGACAATTTTGTAAATCTGAAACTAGAGCAATAAAGCGCTGAAATTTTCTGAGAATGGCCCATGACTGTATTTGGGCAGATGCATGTAAAAAGAGCTTTCATGCTCCGTAAAAACAACTCTCTCCGTGTGTGGTACAAATTGACGCTGAAAGATTTTGCATGATGCTTTAATATTGTGAAGGCAAAAGTATTAGTGAGTCCAAATCTGATGCCTCCTTTAATGCCTTTTTTTGCTGCGTAGCGCTACAGCGCTGCTACAACGGGCAGAACTGCATATTGTAAAGAGGTTGTCGGTGTGTGTGTGTTCAGAAGTGAGTGAACTTTGTCACCCACTTTCATCTCAGCAGCCAGGAAAGTTGGGACGCGGAAATTCTGAGTATATGTTACTACCTCAAGCGTCATTCTCCCGTTTTAAAATTTTCACTCATGCACGTCTAGGCTCCGCGCACGGATCCACTAAAAAATATGCAAATTTTTTGGCGGGAAACGGTTTCGCGAACCAGGC